GAGAAATTTTTAAAAATTCAGAGATATGAATATACTCTAACATATTCCAAATGACTCATGATGATAATTATGAACATGAACACTGTGGGATAAAGCTGTGGGCCCATTTAGATGCTTCTATAAGAAACATTTCCCAAAGTGTGTTCTGTGGAGGTAGTTAATTGATCTTGTTAGTAAAGAAGGCTGTATGATTAAATATGTTGGAACATATAAGTTTGTAAGATTTCTCAGGTTCTGAAATGCTTAATACATTGTGAAATCCTGAAACAAAGCACAGAATCTGAGGTGGCTCCGAAACTTTGACTAAGGAATTCCTTTCCAAAAAGGTATCGTAAGGGATGCCATTGGGAAACACTATAGTCTATACTGAATGACTACTGTACTCTTTGAATTTTGTTTCTATCGTTTAAAGGAAGTTTCTCTCTCTTCTTGGACAATGAAACTGTCAGCTCTGACTTCTTGCTTCTGGCAATGTGCCTGGATCTGAGGCTTTCCTCTTGGTGGTCTGGAAAGCTAGGTAAAAGATTCCAAGTATGAAATAAAATCTTTCTTAAGAGTAAAAGGCATGAAATTTAGTGCATGGACTTTGTGACATTAATTATGGCTTCTCAGAAGCACTTTGCTTTGTGGTTGTTGAACAAATAAGCTTTAGCTAAGTAAGATAATACTGTTAGCAGCTAACCACACCTCCTGGTCATTCAAAGAAGCACAAAACTTCCATTCAGACAAGGAAGGCTTGATCTGGTGGTCAAATACAGATACAGTGCTGTCTATCTGTATAAAGTAGATTCAGGCATCTGCGGATATTTCATATAGACTTTGGGGAAATCTAAACTTTCTTCTCACATGAGCCTTGAAAGCTGTATCTTAGTACCTCCCCCGCACCTTCATCCCTATGCCAAGCCCCCTGCAGGTTTCAGTTCTCCAACTCAGGGCAAAACCTTAAAATCCTAGGGTTTTCTTTTTTTATGCCTGTGATTTCCCTCTCCAGTATTCTCTCTTTGAACTCCACACTCACTCATTCTGACAGGAGTTTCTGCCCTCTGCTCCTGAGCACTGCTGTCAGGTTAGCCCACAGCTAGTCCTCCTACTACTCACCTTTCTTTCTCCTCTCTGGTAAGCCTGGAGTAACTCCTGCTCCATCAAGACTAAGCTCTCTTGATAAGGTACTCTGAGCCAAACAACCTACCAAAAGCTGGCTAAAATTTCATAGACTTATTCATTCAGAGTGGGTTCTTGATTTGTCTATATGAGTTGAAGAACTAAGTTTTTTAAGACTAGAAAAAAAGGGGAAATATCTGATTTGTTTGAATTATCATATCTTTTGATTATTCAATTTGGTATCTTAGAGATATGGTCATCAACCAGGAATATATTTTGGAAAACACTTAAAATTATGGTACAGTAGAAGAGACCATGAAATAATCTTCAATTAGGTTTCATATTAGTATACCTTAATTGAGAAAACTCTGTTTTGATAACTGGTAAAACCTGGATGTCATTAACAAGTATCTATAAATCATTTATTTCCTCTTCTCCTGCCAAAGTTAGGCTCCTGTCTGGGGAATGGGGTGGGCAGGTAAATGAAGAGGATAGGGTTTGACTACAGTGATATTATAGAATGTTATGCTTATAAATATAATACATAATATAATGTGTAATATACAAATGAGCGTTAGGCTATAACTGTGAACCATGTTAACTATTAAGTATGATATATTCTTTTTTTCCAGTCTATTCATCTTTTCAACAGAGTAACTATAATTAATAGATTTTCTATATTTTAATATATTTTGAATTTAAAATGTATAATAAATTAGATTGAATTTTTTAACGGGAAAGAACATTAGAAAAAAGAAACTATGATGTTAAACCAACGAAATTACCACTTCAAAAATGGTCAAATATTGGCAAATTCACATGGTTCAATCTAATAACATTTTTTTATGATGCACGTGCTTACACTTGTTCTCTCTCCCCTGTTAGATTTGATTTTGTGGAGGAGGGTGAGGCTGGCAGGGATCAGTTCTCCCAGCCTGGCGGCTAGCTCCTTTTCCACAGGGTCTTAAAGCAACATGATTCACTAAACACAGTAGGTCATTTGAATATCTTCATTAATTATAGTGTATTTATTCTGGGAAAATGAACAGTAAAATGACAGAAACATCATGTGAATGTGTTTTAATTAAGATTATCTCTTAATGCACACCTTTTTATGTAATTCCAATAACATGTTCATGATTCCATAACAGAGTAAGAAGAAAGTAGTGGGTAAAAAGAGTTACAGACAAAGAAAGAGAAAGCTCTTCTATAATAAATTTGGGGCTTGGGGGAGATTTGGGAAATGTGTATCTTTTTTGCTATGTAGTGTCTCTTTTGCTATTTGCTGTTAACTGCCATCACTTAGGGGGCTCATATGTTGTTTTTGTTGTTGTTGTTTATTTCTTTGTTCCTTTTACCTTGATTTTCTAGGCTGTTACATTGTCATCAAGGCTTGTAAACAAATTTGCTCCGGTGAGGACATATTTTAAGGATCTTCTAAATGAGAGATAACTCATTTTTTCCAGTGTTCTTTAAATGAAGAGCCGATAGTGTTATAGACAAAAATATAATTTGCCCTCTTAGCATCTGATGCTGGCAATGATTTCAGTTTAGAATTAGCCGTTCTTATCTCTTTCAGAAAGTGTAATTGGCCACTTGTGCTTTTTAACTCATATGAGTGAAACTGTAAATATAGCAATTTATTTGATTACAGTCTATGTGCATTTTTCTTTTGCTGAAAATGGACTTTGATTTTATTGTACTAGATACAAATGAGTTCTAGAGCAAAAATAAAACGTTACATCTTTCATAGTCATTTGTGGAGCGAAGAGCCTACCCAGGTTGCAGCTCTTCTGCAGACTCGTGGCTTTTAACAGATTGGGTTTATAATTCCTTCCTACTTCTTGCATTAGGAATTGATTCCTCGGTGCACTTTGCTGTTGTTGTATACCTCTGAGGGACTAGAAATACTCAACCCTCAGGTCCTCACATATAATCCTTCTAGAACCGCAGTCGGAAAAGAGTATTCTAACCCTGTAACTAGACACTAACTGAATTCTCATTTCCCTTCTGCAGGATATCTATATTCATCCATACTGATTATCTATCTATCATCATCTATCTACCATCTATTACCTGTCTATAGTTATATGAATACATAACATTTTAACATATAACATAAACATATTATATTATACACACACACACACACACACACACACACATCTTCTGAATCCAGAGAGAAAAGTCTTTCTTTTGCCGCCCCCGTCATGGATGAAGGCCACTCCCAACCTTGTCTCAAGCTATGGAAGGCTTCTCTAACCGGCACAGCATTCAAATAGATCAGAGATCTGAGATTAACTTGGCTGCATTGTTTTTCAGACTCAGAGATTCAAAATAATTTCTTTGAAATTGAGTAGAGGAAAAAACTAGGCATTTCCTTTGCTAAACAGCAGCATTTACCACGTGTTAGGGAATTACACTGTGAGTTTATTCTCGACTGTTTTTCATGGAAATTTATAAAATTATTGAACAGTTGAATTTTTAAGCTGAGGGGACCTCAGATATAATATAAACCACAGTTCATTTTACACATAATAATTGTGAGTTCCATAGACATGATATAAAATGCTTAAGATCAAAGGGCTAGTTAGGAGATAAAAAACACATAGACCTTCCATAACAAAATGGTAAAAATAAATTTAGATTCTTTTATGGGTCTTTTTTATCTCAAGATTTTAACTCTAAAGATCAACTGCTGGCTTAGTCTTCAGCTTGCACGGAATGGACTCAAATCTGTTGGATGCTATTTCTACTGTGACATTGCCACGGGTTTGAGCAACCCATAGTCTTCAGAGAATTGTCATTTTTGAAAACTTGAGTTTTCATGAGCTTGCTAGTTTAAAATATTTCTGAGAATAAAATATTAAGGCTATATATACATATAATATATATAAATATATGTATATATGGTTATAGAGGGTTTCTACTTCTCTAGAACTTTTTGAAAGTGTTCAGTAAATAAAAGATAGACAATCTCCTCAGAGCTGAGTTGTGTGGGGTCCTTGCATTGTTGTAACTGTTTGCAGAGCTAGTCTAACTAGAAGGTTCCTTTCCCACATGTCCTCTCTTCTCAGTGTCCTTATATCTTCAATATATTTTGTGGAACCATTTCATAATTGCTCCAAATGGTTAAATATCTGTAATGTCAGATAGTTCCAGCTAGCTATATAATGGGGAATTTCAGGGTCATAAGTCAAAATACTGAATCTTAAACAAATCGTTGATACTTAAGGGCCTTTCTCTGGGATGTAGGAAATGATTAAGCAAAAGTGGATTCAGAGAGAAGAACAAAGAAAGCAAAATGGTTATACCAAGCATTTACTTAACTGTGTACTGGAATGACCCTTTTCTGTTACACAGAGCTTTAAGTTAGGGAAAAGGCCTTTCCATCAGAAAGTACATTTTAATAAGTCACCTTATATATAGTTAAAATTTTGTTCAAGTATCTGAGATGGTGGAGTAGGGAGATATAACCATGCATTTCACAGTAGTCAAAAAGTACAGCTTACTGTTGAGAAATTAAATAGGGACCAGTCCCTTCTTCCTCATCTAAAGTCACACAGATACCCTATTTCAGTACTCCATTACTCTTACTTATACCTGATAGCTATGCATAGATTCTTGTATGTTTCAATTCTTCTTATATTACCAATTACCATTATTCATATAAACAAAAATATGCAGAACATCTACCATGTGCCAAATACTGGAATATCTAGGATTATATCAGATTGAATTTGTTTCTGACTTGCCTTTTAACCCTGCCCCCAAAATAAAGGCAAATAAGAAATGTGAAAAGGGCTTATTGCCAATCATTTAATTCAAGTCACTCAATAGCATGGTTACATATCTGTTTTAGTGTGGCATTTGAAAGCAGTGTTTTTTATCTCTCTTACCTGAAGGATCTTATCACCAGGCTGCAGCAGGTTGGATGCTGGTCCATCAGGCTGAACCCTAGTAACAAAGATACCCTATAAGTCAGAAGTAACAGAGGTTAGGATTGTATTATCAAGAACTAGGCCTAGTTAAAAACAATGAAAACAGATTAAAAACAGTTTACACATGTAGGTGTCAAAGATTATTATAGTATTTTTTAAGCAAAGCACCACTCTTCAAGTCAAGTTTAAGAAAAGCAACATCTTTACTTGCATAACAAAAGCTGATCTTGTTTTTAAAGTGCACTTATGATTTATAAATTAATTTATAAATTAATTTCATGGCATAGTCTTAATTTCTTTCTTAAATAATTTGAAATATGGTACTAAACCATCTTTTAATAATTCAGAAATCATCCTAAGTTATTCTTCATTGAAAATGTCTTCTATTTGACAGGCTGTAAATTCAGTGTACACTTTTAAAACCTTATCAGAATTACATATAGATGCTGGTTTATTTCAATCAGTATTACTTTGTATATTACTGGAAATTTTAATATAAAATGTATATGAAAAAATTAAACATAAGAAAATCCCAATATGCATTTTAAACATAAAGTTTCTGCCAACGTAATTACAAATCCTGAAACTGATTAATTTATTTTATAAAAAAGTCAAATTAATTCTGTTGATCATGTATATAAAGCAAGCATTTACTGAATGTCTACCATATGCTAGGACTCGATTACTAGTGTTATAGAGATATAGAGAATATAATTTTTGGCTTCAGTGAGCTCATAATATAGTAGAAGAAAAGTCAAGAAACCAACAATTCAAAAAATAAAAATATAAATAATTTACATAACAATATGTATTAAATAATAAAGATGATATCTCAATAGAGTTGACATTATTTTTTTAGTTCCTAAGAAGTATTAATCGAATAGAAGATAATATTGGAATGTCATTGCCTGTTATTTAGGAAATCATCTTGTTTGTTGATTTGTAAATTTAACGCCTCTCACTTAAACCCATTAACCTTATGTATGTGTGTGTGAATGGTTTAACAAGAAGGCCCTAGTTGAAATACTTCTATGTGTGTTTTCATTTAGCATTTCAGATCTTTATGAAATTTATTAATTTAAGGCTATTGAATGATTTTTATCTTTATGATTTTAATCTGTTTTTCTTCCCATTTAAAGACGAAACTATGGACAGCCATCAAAATCCTTAGATAACTGTGTAACTTTTAACCCGTAATGCAACTTCTAGAACTTGGGGGCATAACTAGACAAGTTGCAATATTCATTTACTAATACGTTCATCATAGTATTATTTGTAATAATAAAAGTTACAAACCATACCTAAAAGTCTAATAACAGAGAATTGATGAACTAAATTACAGTAAATTCACACAATAGTATGATATGTGATCATTAAAGTCCTAGACGGGAGTTACAGAATTATCCTAGTCCTTAGTGAAATAAGCAGGTTATAAAACATTATACTCTATGATGCTATTATTATGCTATGATACTATTTTTGCTGAAATATGTTTATATGCATATTGTGTGGGAAAATATCTGGAAGGATATATTCCTAAACATTAATAGTGGTTATACTGGGGAATGAGACTTCATATGTGTATATATATATATATATATTTCCTTTTTGCTTTATGTCTTTTCTAATTTTTCTACAATAATTATGTACCACTTATTACATCAAGAAAATAATAATAAAAACTTTAAGATTTTATTTATTTATTTGAGAGAGAGAGAATGAGAGATAGAGAGCATGAGAGGGAAGAGGGTCAGAGGGAGAAGCAGACTCCCCGCTGAGCAGGGAGCCCGATGCGGGACTCGATCCCGGGACTCCAGGATCATGACCTGAGCTGAAGGCAGTCGCTTAACCAACTGAGCCACCCAGGCGCCCAATAATAAAAACTTTAAAAAAATTTTAGGTTAATAGTGTCACTATTCAGAGTGATGCTCAGCTAGTTACTTTTGTCTATTCGGTTGTACAAATGGCCAATTCAAAAGGAATAAGAAAATGGGTTGTTTGAAAAGGACTGTAACAGAAGGCATGATGGTGAATCCACCAGACAGGGAATGGCACTGGTTGTGAAAACAAGTATAATCCCCACAGCCTTTTACACACTGGGCACATAACACTCATGCCATCAGTCCAGGAAACTGTATGTGCTTGGTCCTTCTGGTAGTCCCACTCTTTGCTATCCGGGTCTCTGTACAACAGGCAGAATGCCCTTGCCCAAAATAAGCCACTACATCTCTGTGTGCTGGAGATGAAGTTGTTCTTTTTATCCCAGCAGTCAACGTCTGGGCTACCTAGTTAATTTTGATTGCCTTTCTTCAGCTTATTCTATGGGAACCATTTTAATAATGTTTGCATGAATCCAGACCACAGGAGCTAAATTACCGCCATTGAATCTGCAACGCTGGAAGCAACTGGTAATGCTCCACAACCTGAATGCTGAAAGAATACAAGTGTAATGTACGTGGCAGGTTTAATTTCATCCATCACAAAGCTCTGTGGGATTCAACCGCTGTTCTGAAGACTTGCTGTGTTGTTGGTGGTGGTTTTTTGTTAGAGATTTATTTATTCTAGAGAGAGCGGGAGAAAGCCTGGGGAGTGGGGGGAGGGAGAGAGAGAGAGAATCTCAAGCAGACTCCCTGCTGAGCACGGAGCCTGACGCAGGGCTGGATCCCACGACCCTGAGATCATGACAAGAGTTGGCTGCTTAACCGACTGAGCCACCCAGGCGCCCCCTGAAGATTTGCTTTGAAGTTTACTATTGTGGTGGCCTGAGTCTTCCAAAGCATTTATTGCTGCTTTCTAAAGCTTTAATATTTCTTTTCAATCAATACATTTCCTCAACTAAGAAACTGCTACTGCCCACTGGTATAGTTTTTTTTTCTATATATACAGATATATCTTATCAGGCAGCATACTGACACATTAGTCGAGGCAGATAGAAATGAGTGTTATGTTTGATAAAGGTCTGTGGCTTTCATAATTTATGGAGGTGGAATGTTTCCCAAAAGACTGCCTGTAAAGGCCAGTGCTCTGATTTTTCACTGTACTTATGTATATACATACAGCCATATGAGAAAAATAACTCTGAACCCATTTTGTGCTATCTGTTATGATGAATATTGATGACTTTGGTACAGTTCTGGAAAAGCTCATGTAGTGATGTGTCAGTCTCCCTCTTAACAAATTCATTTTATTCTGAGATTTCAAAGAATACTTTGGCCCTGATGACAGAATTTGGTGAGGAATCAGACTATTTGTATTCTGAACATTAGAACAGGAACTTCCCACTGGTTGGTAAAAAGCCATCATGTATGTATCAAAGATCCATATCATGGCATCTGGTCAATTTTATAACTCTGCAGAATGCTGTTCATTTTCTTGTAACATTTGGTTGAGTGTTAAATGTGGGACAAACTACCATGTAATACATTCAAAACAAACAAAACAACCTATACCCCTAAGGTTATAGCAAAACCATTTTGCCCAAGGAAGGAAAATGCCTCAGTAACTCTTTTTCAACAAGGCAATATATATTAGTATTTTGCGGCTGCTGTCAAGTTATCATGAATTTAGTGGCTTAAAACATCACAAATTTATTATCTTATGGTTCTGTAGAAGTCCAAAATTGGTCTTACTGGGCTAAAACAAAGGTGTTGGCAGGGCTGCATTATTTTCTGGAATCTCTAGGGGAGAATCCGTTTCCTTGCTTTTTCCAACTTCTAGTAAATGTCCACATTCCTTGTCCCCCTTTTCCATCTTCACAGCGAGCAATTGTATTTATCTCTGACCATTTTTCTATATTCACATCTCCTTCTGATCATAGTCAAGAAAGATTCTCTATTTCTAAGGACCTATGTGATTAGATTGGAAGCTCACCTGGATCCAGGATAATCTCCTCATCTCAAGGTCCATAATTTTAACTCACCTGCAAAGTCCTTTTTGCCATGTAATCTAACATATTCACAGGTTCTAGGCATTAGGATGTGGCTATCTTTGGGCGGGGGGTGGGGGCATTTTTTTCTGCCTTCCCTATAGTGTAAGAAGTAGGAGCATAGCTCTGGAGTTAGCCTGTGTTCACCATTCAAAAATTGGGCAAGTTAATTAACTTTTGTGTACTTAAATTTCCCTCATCAGTAAGATGGGTATAGTAATGGCAATACCTCATAGTTATTAGATTGAGTATATATATATACAGAAATACTTAGAACAGTGGATGGCATTCAGTGTAGTGTCAATAAATGTTACCATAATTATTGAAAATCTGAAGGTTGAGCTACAATCCAAGGTCTTTACATCCAGTAAGACCCATACTGAGAGTTTCTGAGTCTCTAATTGTTCCATATGTATTGTCCAGAAATTCTTCTTTACCCTCAATCTGGAGTATATTGAAAGGCCAACATTTGTTATCTTTCCCTTGAATGCCCAGCGGATAAGATGATTTGCATCTCCTATTCAGGGAAGAGGATGGGAAGAAGGCTGGGAAGTCTCTACTACCTCATCTGTGGTTTTCCAGTGGTGGTTCTCAGTGGTAATGGTTCCAATTGTTGTTCGCTCTCAGTAGTGGACATGGGTCCCAACTAGAGGGCTTTCTGATGGTTCTTAGTAACTTTCAGGGGCTACTTCCTTTGGTATCTCCAAGTCAGGAGCATTAGCTCTTTACAGAAATAGCTGCTAAAATCTAGTTACTGACTTATGTGTTACTAACACACTGTCTGAGTGTGTTTTTCTAATGTCTGACATTTCATGACCAGCACAATGGTTTTCCCCTAGCACCACCTCTAGAGAGCATCTCACAACAGAGCAATAAAATACGTACTGCAGCCTTTTCCAAAGAATATATGTTTGCTTTCCTCAGACACCGATATCTGGGTGTGCTTGAGTCAGACACAAACCTCCTGGACTCATGCATCACAGAGGGACCCACACACGTTTGCACCAAAGCTAATCTAGAGAGGGCTGGCCAGGTGCTGCTAATAGGGATGACCTGTTGCCATTTCATTTTTCTTCCCCATTTTTAAAAAACCCCGTCTTTATGCAAG